TGCAGAGAGTTCCTCTTTTGCTCCCGCTGGCGCGTTGGGCTGCGTTGCGGCGACGTTTTCGGACGACGAGCTCGTATTATGACCATTGGCCTCGCAAACGCTCCTCTTGCCGCATATGATAAGGCTGACCATGACGAGGAGCTCTTCCTGAGGCAATTCAGAATATCACATTTCCACACACGTCCGGTCGACATTGTTTTGCGAGATTCGACACTTCTCATGGCAAAGGTTGGACGGGGAGTTGAGGGAGGCCTAGGAGGAATTCTTTCTCGACGAAGCGATCACTCATTTCTCGGGTAGTCGATCGAGATCAACCCACAGGATGCGATTCGGCCGTTAGCCTCGGAGCGCTACCTCCCTCTCGTGCCTCAATCAGCATCGAGACTTTTTCTGAGAAAAATAAATAAAAATAGGTCCTCTGTTGATACTCCCCAATGGCTCTCGATCAATCCTCCAATGAAATCTCATATCCTATTATGCATATATCCCATCAGCCTCTGTTATGCTCTCGCTTGCGCGCTCATCCTCCATCATCGTCCTTCATCATCATCTATTGTCCTCTATCATCATCTGTTATACTCTGTTGGCCTCATTCCGCTTCTTCCATTCTCTGGCATCCTCTCTCACCCCTTCTGACTTAATCACGGGAACGAACTCGGCTCGGAGCGGAAATTTTCGGGAGAGTACCTAATTCGGATCGATAGTAAGTATCTGCATAAAGCTCATGAGCGCATGGAGCCTTATCACCGCTGGAGGAAGACAGCCCGTATGCCGTTTCGTTCCTAGTTGGATATCGTCATTCGGAGCATTCGAGCCTGTCTGTGGACTTCTTGCCTAGGGTATTTGCGGGGGAGCCCTTCGCAGATGATCGGAGTCTTTCTGGTTTTGTAGCGAGAATGGCAGTTTTCGCGCAAGAGAAAGAGTCAGGCCCGGGCACGAGGAACCCGACGCCGACGGTTCTCTATGGCGGTTCTCCCTTCCTCCTTGGAGCGCAATTGCTCGACCGAGGGACGGACGGCCAGCAACATCTCCACGTGACATATAATGATGAAATTGCGTTGAATTAGTCCAGGGATCAAGAGCCACTCGACTCGAGATCGATGGGATCTTCCCGATGATGTCTGATATCTAATTCTATCCTGATTCTGTAGGACCTGCTTTTATTGAAGAGTTCTCCGGATCGAGTTTGAAGTATCGAATCTCACCGATTGCTTCTAAGAGCCAGGAGATTGACTCCATCTATCTAACTATGTTGGAGAGAGCAGTTCCTTCCGAGCTCACGGAACTTGCGCCCCACTACGCGACGCACAGTGGTCAAAAATTGATTTTTAGGTGGACAAAATTATTTTTTCGATTTTCAATGTTCAAGGCAAAAAAGTCACTAAAAAGAGTGGGGAGAAGGTCTCGATAGGTATGGATTCATGTGGGGCGATGAGAACGGAAGCGTTTTGACTTAATACGAACCATGGATTTCTCTCTGGCTTTCGAGAAATGGCCGAAACCTTTAGGGCCGCATTTGGACACTGTACCCAAATGAACCCAGTCTGATTTTTCTTTTAAATTGCTCGTAAAAACCTCAGCTCTCACGAGGTGATAACCGGTTTTTGCGCTTTTTTGCGCTAAGGGCCTCATTTTCCGGAAAACCACAGAAAAGCCGTAAATGGGCGAGATATCGCTCGAATCGTGATCCCCAGATTCTGTATTGAGATTATCGTACCCGTGGATATTTGTTCCTTCAGAGAGCATCACTCTGAGCCGTCCATCGGAGACGCTCCTCTGATTGAGGACATCTGTGGTCGCATATCGAGATCGGGCAGCATCCAGCACGATGGGCGACAGCGGGAGACCGCTCTCAAAATCGCCGCGTGCCGCGCTTAACTACCCCTGGCTGCCTCGCCGCTTCTTCCAATGAAAACTGAAGGGATTGATTGCGCATGATCGGAGCTGAGAGATCACACAAGATGGACGATTTACACGACTTCAGAGCCCAACTTAGCCGGCAGATCAATCGATCGATGGAAAAGTTCCAGAAGTGTCAGCGGAAGAAGGAAAAATTCTACCACCATAAAGTCGAAGACCTGTAGAGTTCAACCTCTACTACAGCACGGCCTAGGAGATTTATTGTACGCGGGCCATCTCTCCTTACACTTTCCCGGTGATCGACAGGGCTCCAAAACGGTGAAAGCTCTGTCAGATCGACCATCCTCAGCCGCATCCTCAGCGTCCTCCATCTCAGCGCTGAGGAGTGGGAGATCCATGAGGGATGCGACTCGTAGTGTTGTCTAGACTAGTGGAATGCTCTCGATAAGCATGTTCCAACGAAAATAATGTAGCTCGTTCAATTCGAAGAGTGTCTCATTATTGACTCCAATGGGCCTCGAACTTCGTTTCTAGGGCCAAGATGACGACCAGAAACTCTATCGGGCTCATTTCCGAACTCAAATGATCCGAGTCAGTCGAAAAAAGCGTTCAAATAATTTTGTCCATCCAAAAATCGATTTTTGACCACTGTGCGACGTGAAGGCGCGTCGTCATTGGAATTGAAAAGGGACGGGACCTCGCTGTGGTCGCGGTCTGTGCTTTTAAGACTAGGGATCGCGACCTCGTTAGGGGGAGCACCGAAGTCGAGGAAGGATTGTTCCCCCGCTGGAAAGTACTAGATCCCTGACTCGATTCGTGAGACCAGTTTAAAATCCCAATACTTTCAGTTCTTTCGGAGACGCGATTCTATACTGAGGAGTTAGGAGAGGCCCCGTAGGGCCAATGGGCTAAGCTCTGGGGGAGGGTTCGAGATCCGCTGGCTTGAGTCATAGGATTAGCAGATAAGAGATTGGGAACACGAAGACGCAGAATAGAGAGATTGGATCGTCATGGAATTCACGGATGGGTTATTAGAATAAAGAAAAGCATTTGGGAGCGGGAATGGGTATCGTTACCGGATCGCTCAGATCTAGAGCAAATTCCGAAACAGCTCGCAAGTCGCAGATAATTAGCATGGTCCTCGCTAATTTTAGGGCAGTTCTATAGAGTGCAGACACAAATAGACGAAAGGGGGGTTAACGTCAGGAGGAAGTTCGAACCAATGAGAATTCCACGGCACTGAGCAGCAAGAGGCCCACGATTGACGATCGAATAGCAGAGCGTGTTTCAAATAGGCTCGGGATTGGTATCCAGTGGAATCCTCGAAGGATTTCCGCAATTTTCCGGGGATCCGGAACGGAACCAGGCTTTGGAATTGCACGAGGGTAGAGGAAGCACGATCCCGAATGCGACCGCACAATCGGATTTCTTCAATGCCCGTCCGCTTACCTCGACGGGAAACGCTCTTCGAAATATCTTCCTTCTCATAGACCATAGACCGTTTCTTAGCTCGGTCGCTCGTCATGCCCGGGCGTCACAGATGAAATCGATGGGGACGGGGGTAGAGGACGAATGAATACATACCGCACAGGCATCTTTCAGAAAGGGATTTATGCATGTTATTATTATTAACAGTAGCAATTATGCTCTACTATATGGTTGCTGCAGCTGCTCCATCGGCGAACGGAAACATTCGCCTGTCAGGAAGGGAGCCATTGTACGACTGGTATGTCAAAAATAAGCTCGTTAGCAGGACTAGCTGCTGTCTTTATCGGGGAGAGGCGCTGAAAGGATAGTAGGGACTTCGGCGAGTCTCTCTGTAGTAAATCACATAATGGGTCGATTGGGGTTCTCCCGTCGTCGGCAATAAAGCTCAAATGGGAGGAAACTTCGCTGCTACTCGTGAAAGTTCACTCCCTGCCGCCTGATCCTGAATTCTCCGCTCCTCGGCCTGCGTCAAGAGTTCCTGGCGAGACTAACGGACCTAGTCCAACGATTCCCGACGAAGTCGTTCGACTCCACAGGAGTCTAGTCCGTCGATCGGCCTACGTGGACCCTTATCGGAGGTGTTCGCCGGGTGCTCCGATGGGAGCTCTTGCCTTCCAAGAAAACCGCCGACGTGAAGGCGTCGAATTCACTCGAAATGTGAGTTGTTGCAATTCAATGCCCCGGAGAGGAGCGTCCGAATGGCGGTTGGGGGATCCGAAATCGATCTCAGATTGTCGATGGGGAAAGAAATATCTCGAGCAAGATCAGTGCTCGGAGCACGGGTTTTGTCCGGAGAGGGGAGGGGGGGCGAAGTATAAAAGTAGAGCCTTGAGACTTACAGGCCTTAAGTAAGAACGTGGAGGACCTGACATAGATGAATGGAGACCTCGACCGTTAGCGCTGTGTAAAAATGAAGTTGTTATCAGCGGAACAGGCGATCGGCCGAGGATCGTTGAAGACAGATGATGCTTTTGTTGCGCCTTATCCACGTTTTTGTAGCGTCTTGCCGATCCCTGGGGACTGTTGCGGACTGTTGACAATGCGCTCATCTGAGTTTTCCTGAAAATAATGAAGCCTGCGTTCGGTTAACTAATGGCCTGCTCTGGAACAAGCAGATTTTTTGCGTGGGGCCGTGTCGTGTCTCGCCGCCAGCCAACAGCGCTCGTCGAGGTCGCCTCCCAGTCAAGTTTGTCGAGGCCGCTCTGAAATCATGGGCAGAGCCAGAGAGTTTTTCATTGGATTATCCAGCGGGGCAAAACCGCGTGAGCAACGACCGAGCAACAGTTTCCAGCGCATGGGACATGATAGTTAGTCCACATGCCAAGCACATGTCCCCTTCTGCCGCTGACAAGTGTAATGAAGTATAATTCCAGGCTGAGGGAACAGAGGGGCGACATTAAGTAGTTGTTGTTCCATGTGTTCGGTGGACAGCGTGCTTTCCCGCGTGGAGGGAGGGAATCTGTGAGAGTTCGAGCACGCGAGCCAGCGACCAACCAAGTGAGCTAGCTAGCCGGAGACCCTCTCTCCGGAGACTCTCTCCAAAAGCTCGGGGTGACGGCAACTTCAGCCAACATCACTCTGACTCGAGCATCAATTCAATGAGGTGTAAGATGTTCCCGAAACGTGACGTGAAACTCGTGCCGCGCACACAACAGTGACTCGATGTCATCGTCTCTGGATACGTAGTTAGTAGTTGTTAATCCCCGCGCGGAGTTCTGCTCGATGATGACAGACTCCGCTTCACTGGAGAATTCTTCGTCTGGTGGGAACTTCACGTCGGGGAATCTATTCCCCGACTTGGATCCCCCACAAACGTGGCGCGTAGTGGCAACCGTGACGTTTTTTGTTACGAATGTGCTCAGCAACGCGATCCTGGCAGTTGCGGCATGGACGGGTCTGAGGAGGAGTCGAGGTGCCACTCGACGCTTATCGTTAGTTACGGATTTCCCTCAATCAACTAGGAGACAGAAAGAGCTCAAGGCCACCGCGTGTGACCACATTCTGTTAGCCGTTTTTTTCGTGGCAATGTGTCGCTCGTGCACAAGAGCACCGGTCCAGGTCGTGCAAATGCTCACAGGTGAGTTGTCATTCATCATACCGGTTAGCTCATTGGCTTCCCGCTCCAGAGGAGGGAAATGCGTTGAGGGTAAAGTAAATCATCAGAGCAGCTCATTTCTCTTTTGTTTCGGGGAGATCGACCGGCATCTCCGAAATGGGCACTCAAGCTGGGGAGGGAAGATACGTCCCTCGATAGAGCAATCGAGAGACGACCCGACGTCAGACGATGAAACACTCGAATGTTTCAAGTGCCCGCGAAGTCCGCATTGATTGCTCTCGAAGCAGGATCATACGCGACGAAACAATTTTTTCTCCGAGAACCGAAGTACACTCAAAACTAGAAGCGTTCTCTTTTGACTGGGCGCGTATTGCTCGATGAGTTCAATTCTGTTTGCTATTGAGGAGCTCTTGAGCGACAAGTCGATCCTTGTTCGATCGAACAAAAGCTCAAGGAGGTCTCCGCTCGAACGTCCCTTCGGCAGAGGATCATCGACAATCTCCTAAATCCTCGCGTCCCCGACTCGAAAATAAAGTTCAGCCCGTCTACGTCATCTGAGCGGGCCTCGACGTTGGCTTCGTTATGAAACGCGAATGAAAGTATCCGAAATCGATTCCAAACACTCGGTGGTGGAAAAAGCCTCTGCATACCAGGGGGAGAATTCGCTAGAAATACTCCACACGGCTCCACTGAAATTCATTGTCACAAACGGAACGGATCAGCGCCGTCATCGAAACATGGTTTGCATTTCGAAAGTCGTCCTTGAAGGATGACGCCCTACAACGTCGTGCAGTCGGAATAAGGATCAATATCACCTTCTGAATCTCTAATAGGAAGTCCGAAAGTGAATTCCTGGACTCTGAACAAGTAGGTACAAACGGGAAAGCTGGACGACGTATGAAAGGTTCATTAGGAACTGTGGGTGGAGGCAACGGCTTTGACTTTTGATTTGGATCGAGAATAGATCCAACTCGGCTTTAAGTCCGTCAAGTCCGGCAACTTTCAGAGAACTTGGCGAGCCTAGTCGGTCGGACGAGTCGAGCGGCGACCGCGCATCCCTCGATTCCCCGTATTTGCGTCTTTCCGTGGTCGCCGGGCGGCTAATAATGAATTCTCTCGCGGAAATATCTTCCGTTCGATCTGAGCATCACATTGATTTCAGAAACTGCGCGCCTCATTCCTGGCAGATCAGATTAGGGCGACGCGGCGCTCAGTCAGGACGTAGGCATCATATTCGAAGGGAGTGTGCTGGATGGTTATCAGATCCCGACGCCAGTCTCGCAGTCAGTATTGGTTCCCCTGTCAATAACAAAGGCCGCTAGAATCGAATTTCCCGAGACATAGGCTTTTGTGCGCAAATGTTTGTTTTCTCGAAAAGGGCGCACCGCTTTTTCCTTCGCCGCTGAGGACGGCGAACAAAGAGGGAGAGCGAATTTAATTTGCGAATGTCCTCTAACGAATTCACGATCCCTCGACTTCCACAAAGAGAAGCACGAAGGAGATGAGAACGAAACGACGTCGATGGAAGAAATTGGAAAAGTTCCGATACGGCATTGCCAAATTAGAGCGGTCTCCGCTCTGACTGAGCTTGATTACAATCTTTTGCGACGAGAGCTCTCTCCGACTTTTAGATCTGCCGGAAGTCTCGGATCCGTTGGTTTTGTATTGTGAATTGTCATCAGCGTAGGCTCATGATTGAGGGGCAGATTACGCTGAAAAATGAATCTAGGAGGGAGTGGCGGGTTGAACAAGCTTCGAGATGCTCGAGGTCAACGTCCTTCACATCGCCTATTTGAAAGAAGTACGTGACTTGCAATACAGTGTCAGCAAGATTCAGGTACACAAAGTAGGTACTTCGTTCACTGCTCGTCGAACTTTCGTTCATGAATTGTTACGAGGAAGTCCCGTCCCCCTTTCCTGTCGCCCGGGAAGCCGCCAACGGATGCATTGTGCTCCAATTTTATACACCGCTCGCGGAAGCGTCGCACGTAGGGTGCAATCGCCTTCATAGGCCCTGCTTTGGTCAATGACAGGATATGCTTTCCCGTGTCAGCTGTCATAGCCGCGAAAGTCGACATTGACTCGGCCGCGTTTGTTGGGAAAATCGATCCGGCGCCGCGACCCTCTCACCGAATTTCTTCGCGTAGGTCGGCCCTTTCACGGATATACAGCACAGCCGCGCTCGACAGTTCCCCCCATCGATGCGTCCGCATAGACCCCGATCGAGGCAGAAACGCGTTTGACACATGTAGAGACACATCTGGGGATTAGTCCGTCGGCGACCTCAGAATTCGCAGTCCGTCAGAAACACTCGAGTGGACCATCTCACGGCGAGCGTGTGGTCGAGGAAGATTAGCCGCCTACAATGGACGACCGGTCCGACCGAGGACTTCAAACACTTTGGTCCCAGGCGATCGCTGTCTTTTGAGCGAAAAAGTCTGGTGTCATTCGCTCAAAGCACTCAGTCAGTCTTTCAGAGAGAACAAGAGACCAGCGCAATATTCGATTTCGGATCTTCTCCCTGATTTCCGCTGAGCAGGCGGCGGCGGGAGAAATGATCGTACCATGAGCCGAGTGTCGGATTCTTTTGTGGTTGTGCTCACTATGAGGAGCAAGGAGCTTTTGGAGCCCATGACCCGAGAATCAGTCGCAAGATCGGGTCTTACATGGAGCGGCGTCGGCCGTCGGACTTTCATTCGCGTTGCCGTATCTCATTGTTTGCTTTCGGCTTGGACTTTATCAATTCTGTCCTTTGTAAACACGACACATTCGCGAACGAGCTCGGCACTAAATCATGTAGGCGTGGCTCCATTTGGCCGAAGATTCGTAGAACCTCAAGGTCGTTCTCGCTCCAGCTCTGAGGGCACGCTCTGATGCACGCAAGAAAGCCCCTCTGACTTGGAATATTGTTGTCATTGATAGATTATACTGAACGCATATTATTCCGGCCCACTCTCATTATAATTCGAGGGTAACGACGCGGGAACTGCTGGCTCCATAAAAAGGTGACGGACGGATCAGGCTCCCAAGCCTCCGGAGTCATTATCTAGTTCACATTATTTCTCCTGGCAAAGTCCGCGTGACGACACCGCCTGATATCTCCTCCGACCGACGCGTGCGGAGACTCCCACAGGCTCAATGATCTAGTGACAGCAATGAAAACTGTAACAGACGGTCAGTTGAGGACCAAACGGAGACTCGGTGGCCTCAGCCACGGTGAGGGGTCGTTTCCTCAAAGACAGCACGCGTAGGAGCCTCCGGACGCAGCGAGACTTCACTGCGACCGCGGCAGAATGCGCGCTTTCATCTCGCGGAGATCATCTTCGATCGGAGAGTTCTTGATCCAACGTTCGTCTCGACTGTGTTTTGAGATTTCCAGACAAATCACAAACCACAGTTCCGGAAGCCCCGGACGCTGCGAATAATGTCCCGGGGCGGAACAAAGGGGCAGCTCCAGAGGAACTTCTTTCCAGTTTAGTGTTGGAATCCGGTTTCCTGAACCCCGAGCTTGGGAGGAAGGAATCAAGTCCACTCTTGGACGAGATTAGATCCCGTCGTCAGGAAATTGAATAGATGATCGAAGCAGTGAATAAATGGGAAAAGGTCAGACTACCACAAGAATTCTCGATGCAATCTACGCAGGAATAAACCCTGTCAGTATTCGAGATCAAGCGCGGTCATACAAGCAATCGACGTCCGCCCTCCCACTCAGTCGATGAGAAGATACTTTTCCATCGAGCTCGAGCATTACCTCCCTCTGACGTTTTTTGTTGGTCATGAGAAGCTTCTCATCTGAATCGACAACGGAGCCTGGACCAGGAAACGCGTGTCCCGTAGGAATTCCCGTCAGAGTGGAGCGATGTAACAAACTCGCGGCTACCCCTTCCCGATTCCGAGTCAGTCGATGCTTATATGCTGATTAAAGCGATTCTCCGATGGATATTCTAAGCCTGGGAGGCGGACGTGACGAGAAGAGGGAGGTCGAATGACGAGTCGGGATTGTCTCTGTTCTGTTATTCTGATTCAAGTTCGGTGCACGGGCGGCCTCAGCCGAGAGCTTTTCCGAGTCCTCAATTGCGCCTTTCAAGGCGGAAACGTGCATAGGGAGAAGAAATCCGAACTGCTCCTCTAATGACCCTCGATAGTCAGGATTAAGTTCAAAATCCGGAGAAGCGCGTCCTCGTTCAGATATTTCGCACAGATCCCCCAAATTTCGGATAAACGCTCGCCCTGGACTCATCCCCGCTTGCACGGCGTTCTGCCCCCGAAAATGGTGTTGATTCGTGGGGGTCCGAGAAGCTTCTCAAATTGCTTTCTCGGACTCCAACTCTGGCGACGTGCCCGCCCGAGTTCGAGTCGGATTATCGCCCGTCATGCTCTTTGTGCAGAACACTTGTGATTCTGATGCAGAAGTCCAAGATCAAATACTTCTTAGCAGGAAGGAATGAGCCACAGTCCGCCCGAAGTGTGGCGGAGCGGGTCCCTCCACTTCGAGTCGTTTCTGACCGCTCAAAAAAAATCCCATGGTTCTTGTATTCTCTAGGAGGACCAGATGGAGTGTATTATAGATTGCTGCAGTCGTTCCTGGAAAACACTCGACCATCGGAGTTTTGTCCTACTCACAATCCTCGCAAGAAGTCTTCGAGAGACACATCAATACCGGTAATCATGACACTGGGAGGGAATCACTGTTTGGCGAAGGGTTTCGCGGGGCACTTAGGGTCCCGTTTGCGCCGGTGTTTCCCAGCTGAGGGGTCCGGTCTTTCCTCCCCCCCACCCTCGGTGTCTCGTTACGTATCAGCGCATACGGTCAAGGCTTGTTAGCCTCGACTCGTGACTTGTGAAGAATCGATGAGAGGCTTCCCGGTTGCATATTATCTGGTTCGAGAAAACGAGATCAGCGCTCCCACTGTATCATGCGTGCTTCAATAAACCCATCCGTGCGACAAGGTCAGGTCGAGTTTTTCAAAAGTACCCAAATTGCTCATTCGGGCCTCCCTCCGTGCCACCGAGGCGGTCCT